CATCGCTGGCCGGCTGGAGCCAGGGGCGGCCTCGGGCTCCAAGTAGGGCACCATCAGGGGGCGCCATGGTCTCCATGGTGCTAGGCCAGGGCACCGCCCCGCCAGAAGGCCCAGTCTGAGCACATGGACACAGCCCGGGAAACTGTCCCAGGGCCCCTCAGAAGACATGGGCTGCGCCACCCAGCGCTCCTGCCCTGCCCCACTATGGGGTATTGAGGGCTCCAGCTGGTCATGGAACCTGGCAGGACAACAGTGCGGGATGCAGAGGGACCAGCGTGCCCCGCCTGGGACCCTCCCGGACAGTGCACCGTGCATTGATCTCCAGCCTCCTGGTGCCATGCATGGGCCCTGGCCCGGCCTGCCACCTCCCTGTCCCGTTCCATGCCCCTCACCTGATAGCAGCTCCAACAGGGGTCTAGCCTGCTTCTTGTTGACTCAAGTTTCTCAACTGTCCAACCTCACTGGTTTTGCACTGATCTTTGAGAGTGGAGACCCATTTCCATCTCCTGTGGCTAGACTCAGTGACATGCATGAAATCCAACACTGCTAACCCAGGACCTCTTACCACACAGAAGGTTCCAGTGTGGCAAGCCCTCGTCCAAGCAGGAGAGAAAGGCCATATTTTAATTTCTGCAGCCCTGCCTGGCCTGCCAGCAGCCACAGGCCCCTGCCCCCATCCAGCTGCCCCACCTGGAGCCCAATCCAGGCACAGGCCTGGTGTCATCTTCGGCCTGGGGAGCACAGCCGGGGGTGAGGCCAGTGACATCCAGAGCTGGCTCTCAGACACCCTGAGGCTTGGGGCCCCGACTGGCCTGGCCGCCTCTTCTGCTCCTCGCCCGCCATCGGCCTAGGCCCAGGCCGTGGCCCACCCACCCACGTTTCTACGCCTTTCTACTCCTCAATCTGATTTCTATGAGGTTTTTTTAAACTGAGCAAACCTTGGCTGCTTCCTTTTCTTAACTCTTTCAGTACCAAGCGCAGCCCCTCCACATTTTAAACACCCAGCACTGTGATGGAGTCCAGCCTGGTTCTGGGTCCCCTAGGCCCTGGCCCTAGCCCACTAGGCAGGGTGTGATCTCCCTGCCTCACCTGACCCCTGCCCATTCCACTGAATTTCTACTCTAGGGGAGTGGGGCACACACTGAAGATTTTTTAATGCCAGTTCCGTTTTGATGCGAATCTAAGAAGCCACAGCTCGCTTCATTAGCTTAAGGACAGGCAGCCACGACTCCCTTTCTCACCTGGACAAGGACGTGCTGAGGTCCGAGCACCTACCTGGCCCTGGCCAGCTGTCTAGTGACCAGACCCAGTCCCCAAGAAGCTGCCAACCTGGATGTGGCCTTGGGGCTGCATGGGCTGATGTCAACTTTTCCCGTGTGTAGATATGTACAGCCAAAGGGTCATGTAAATGTTCTGCAAAAGTGGGCCTATACAGAGGGAAAGCTATTTATTTTGTGCAGAGAAAAATGTCTGGAGGGAAGGAACCTTCAGGGTTTATTCATATTTAAGATGTAGTTTTTTGTTGTTTCAGGCGTAATGTATAAAGCAATGATTATTTTATGGACCAAGTTCCCTGGTAACTGTTGCAGTGACAGTGCAATATCTGACCCCTCTGCCCCCAGCAGGAAGTGGCTGGCCCGACAATCAGCCCCAGCCAGGGGCCCCTGTGGCCAGTGCCACCTCCTCTATTGGCCCCACCTCGCCCCATCTTGCCTCCACCTTGGTGACCAGCCATCTGGAGAAGCCTGCAATAAAGGCTGGGGGCTTGGCCGTGGGAGGCCCAGCAGGCAGCAGGCCAGCCTCTCCCTGGGGCAGCCCCCATGGCTCCTCACTCCCTATCTGCCCAGCCGCCAGCCATGCCAAGGACAACAGCAATAGTCCCCTGGGCCTCTCCCAGGGCCCTCAGCCATAGATGGTGAGACGGCAGCCTCCCCTCCAAGTCTCTTCTCTGTCCAGGTCCGCTTTCTGCCTCCCATGATTCCTTTTGGCACAGTCTCCTCCTGAGGGAGCACCAGTTTCCAGAAACTAAGAGGGAGGGCAAAGTCCTTTAAAAATACCAAAAATGTTTACAGTGTTGGGTGCTGAGCTGCAGGGCTCAGGCCTGACCAGTCATAACCAAAAGGGTGAAGCAGGCCTTGTGACTGCCACCCCCACCCAGGCCTGTTAGGATAGAAGCCTTAGTCCCTCCCGCCCATGCCCACACCCGGCTCTGACCACCTGCCTTCTCTTTGATTTTTAAAGACGGATTCAACCGAGACCCGGCCCCACGGGGGCTGGGTCTTTGCTGCCCACCATGCAGTCTTCACATCTTGGCCCCTCCCATCTGTCCTTGTGCTGTCTGTCTCTCTGGGCCACGTGTGAGCAGTGTTCTGACCCCGCCCTGCTGTCCCTGTACCATCGGCCTAAGTGTGCTCTGTATTCGGTGTCACTGTCTGTTACACGGATTAAAGAAGCAGGAAGGCTTCCTTCTGGTCTCTTTACTGTGGGGCTCCTGTGGGAGTGGGGGGCGAGTCCCTGAGGCGCTGCACACAGTGAGGTCAGGCCACTTGTGTGAGCTGACTGCCTTTTCCCAGGCATGGCCCAGGAGGTGGCTCTGTGACCTCTCCACTTTTCAAGCAACCCAGCCAGTAGTGGGGGCCATGATAACCCCGGCCCAGGCTCCTGTCTGCATGATCCTTGTCCCCTTGGGGCTGAGATAGGGCTTGGGCTGGCTCGTTGTCACAGTGGACACCGCAGCTCCCCGCAAAGCTGCTGGAGCCCACTCCTCCCTAGAAGGTAAGCAGCGCCCTCAGCACAAATGCAGCAACACAACAGGAAGTAGGTCTGTGGCCAAGCGATGTTTAATGCCAGGGCCAGCACACTTTCAGATGCGGGCACCGAGGCCAGGGACCCCACCACAGGCCACCAGCTCCCTGCCTCCGTCCATGGCCAGTTCCAAGGCCGTGGCCAGTGGGGCCTCAGGGAAGCAACCCAGCTCGCATCTGGAATGCCAGGCCGTCCCCACGGGTGGCTTGCTAGCAAGGAAACGGGGCAGACATCAGAAACAGAGCCAAGGGGAGACCGAGGGTAGAGGGGCAACACCAACCTTATTGATCGCTCTGTGGCGTTCTTTGGTTACAATTTCCTCCAAGACCTCCCCGTCTCCCTTAATGAGCCTGTAGACAGAGGTTACATTCAGCATAGGACAGGCCCAGGACCACTGGGACAGGGACAGAGGTGGCTCGGGCAGGCTGAGCCCTGGCAGCCCGTACCATCAGCCCAGGAAACAGCAGCTGCTTGGGGAGCCTCCAGGAGGCCTTTCCAGCCCCTGAACCCCTCATGCCAGGCTCTAGGATGAACGGTGGAGCTGTCACATCCATTTCCCCATCCTTGGCCTTTTTTGGAGCAGCTGCACCCTCCATCCCCAAATGCGGTGTCCTGGACCAATTCTCCCAGAGGCACTTGGCAGGACCAGCTGTGCGGAGCGCTCCCCACCTGGTGCGTCCCGTCTCGGGGTCCACCACCCTGCGGATGACACTCTGCCGAGCATCCCACTCCTCCTTGGTCATGGGCTTCATGGCCTGGACGCGGGACTTCTGCTCGTCGGTCAGGACTGGAAGGGAAGATGGGAGGCAGTGCCGGGCAGGCCTGGGAGTGGACCTGCGCCTGGCCACTGGGCCGCGAGGTACCTGGGCCACCGTCTTCCTCCCCGGCTGATCTGTGCCACTGGTCCAGCGAGGGGCCGGGCAGAGCCTCGGCCTGCTGCACCTCCACCTTCTCTTTGCCTTTCTTCCTCAACTTCTTCTTCTTCTTTCTCTTCCTTTTCCTTTTCTTGTCCTTGTGTTTCCCCCGCTTTTTCCGGCCATCACTGGAGGAAGAGGAGGAGGACGAGGAGGAAGAAGAGGAGCTAGAAGAACTAGAAGAACAGGAGGAGGAGCTGGATCGTGGTCTCCTCCGGGCCTTGTGCATGCTTCTCTCTGTGATGCAGGGAGAAGGTGAGGCTGGAAGGCCGGGAGGGCAAGAAGTGAACGTTTGTTCCCTCGCTCCGGCCTGGGGCAGACTCAGGCCTGCACAGGGAGACTCAGAGCGCCAGCGGGCTGGCTCCTCCCTAGGCGCGGGTCTTCCGATCCAGGTTGGACAATGCACCCCCCCCCGCCCTATTTCCCTGCACTCGACCAGTGTGGTCCTCACCCTCCGCCCCGGAGGCGGTGCTGGCCCTGCGACCTTGGGATCCAGATGTGGTGTAGTTTCTCCAAACGTCCTTACTGCCTTTCTTCCTTCTCTTTTCTGACCCTCGACCCCGGGACCGGCTGCGGCTTCTGGAGCGCTTGCGCTTGCGAGAGCCGACGTGAGCCATAGCACCGGGAGCTGGAAACGGGACCAGACTCGCTACGCTGGCTCTGTGTGGTTCAGATTGCACACAGGGCGCCTGGGGCAGTGCTGATGGGCAGCTCCCCGGGCCGCCCAATGCCCATCACCGGCCCAAGAACCGCGCCATTCTCTTCCCCCTGCCCTCGAGGATCCCTACTTCTCTGCCCACTGCGGGCCCCTGCACTGCGGCCCCTTTAAGGGCCCACCAACCACCCCACCCCATCCCCGAGCGCCTGCGCACCCTTCAGCGCTTGGGAACGGACAATTCTCCTCTAGCGGGATAGCAGCCCTGAATCCTTTCTGGCGCCTTCTGCGTCCTCGCCGGCCTCAAGAAGGGCCCTAAGGATGCTATGAATTCACCTCAACTGCCCATCGAGGCCTTCCTGTGAGGAGGCGGCGGCAAGGTTGCTGGCAGACCATTTCCGGTTAGGGGAGGTGCACCGGTAGGCCGTCCGGATGGGAAGCGAGGAGCTGCTGCCTTCAGTTCCGATGCCACGGGTTCCATGGCAGGAGCACCTTACTCCTGCAGAGGCCAGCTGGGAACCCGGGCCTCCGCCTCCAGGCAGTGCGAAGGAGATGAGGGAGGCAGCCTGGAGCCAACCTTCTATCCCTCAGGATTGCCCTGTGGCCGCGTGCCTACACTACAGCCTCCCTGAGGCGGGGGAAGAGATGCCCCTCTTGCTCTTCTCAGCCACTGACCCCCACACAGAATTGCCCTGTGGCCGCCCCACCGCCTCCGGGTTCAAGGATCCGGGAGCCCCAGGGTCGCAAGCCCAGTTGTCACTGAGGAGCCAGAGGCAATGACAGCAATTGTGAGGACTGCAGGCTGCTCAGAAGCTCTGCTCTTGCCTGTTTCCACAGCCACAGGAATTGGGCCCTGACTTTCTCATCTTGAAGAAGCTGGAACCCGAGATGTCAAAGTGGAAACGCCTTGGTCTCCAATGTGTAACCCCAGCAAAGGCTGCCTGTGCCTCATCCAGTTTTGAAGCCAGTGCTACCCTACACCCCCAGGAATGACAGCAGCAAAAGGAAGGCTCTTACAAAGCACTTTATAAACTCTCACTCCTTGGATCTGCACCACAGCGCCCAGGGCACACACAGACCCCTACCCCCTCTCTGGGTGAAAGGACTCCCACCTCTCCAGTCCCCTCTGTGAAGCCCACACTAGCTCTGCTCCCAGCGCATCTGTGCTGAGCCAGCCTGTCTGCCATAGAATGACCCAGAAGCCGGAGCATCCAGCCGACCCAAGGGCCTTGGCCACGGGGAATTTATTCTGCTTTCCTGACCCTCACACTGCCAGCCAAACCACTCAGGTGAGCACACAGACATCCACTGTGGGGGGCTCCTCCCGGGTGAAGCCGTCACCAAAGCCCTCATCGTCCACCAGGTCCGGTTCCCTGCAGCACATGGGGCAGAGGCGGTTGCGCACAGCAGAGGCCCGGAGCCAGATGACCAGGTTCCAGCGCTCACCAGTGCCCAGGGCCCTGGCCCCATGCAGCTGGCCACCCCGGTGCAGGACACCCTGGCCCACCACGTGCTTCACCTCCAGGGGCCGCGCCAGGGCTGCAGGTGCCTGTGGACAGCAGGGCTCAGGCTGGGCAGCCACAGGTACGCTGCTCCCATCCCTGCCCCATGGGGCGCACTCACCTGGAAAAGGCCCCCGAAGTACAGGGCTCCACCCGTGAAGGTCTTGCCCAGGGCCACATTGAGGGTGAGCTCCGAGTTATCATAGTGGCAGCCCAGAGCCTGGTCCTGGCCCGGCGCATATTTGACCACAAAGGCACGGTGGCTGTCCAGACAGGGCCCGCCGCAGTCCGGGTACAGCAGGGCCATCAGGGGCCGCAGGAAGTGCTCCCGCAGGGGCGTCACCAGAGGCTCATCCAGACCCAGCTCATGCAGCAGCACCTGGGAGGGGTCCTGGGGTCAGCAGAGAGGCCGTGGGGCCTCATCCTGCATCCCTGGGGACGTTTCTTCCTAAGGGCACTATTCAGTGCCCCAGTAGTCTCCCCATCCACCCACCCAATTTCCCCAGCGCCCTTCACCCACCCCGTAGTTGTTCATGGTGTTGGGCCTTCCCTTGGGCATGTCTGACTGCTCGAAGTGCTCCAGCTCCTCCAGCAGGGCCTGGCAGAAGGGCGCCGTGAACACGGGCACGCGGTAGATGCGCTTCTCCTCTGTGGCAGGACAGACAGCTGAGGGCTCAGGTGGGGGCGTGCAGGCCTGGGCCACAGTCCCCTCTCACTTCAGGGCCCCTCCCTGCTCCTTGTAGGTTGGTCTTCCAGCTGCTGCTGGTTTGGGTTTTGAGGGCAGACAGGACAGGCGAAGCGACCCAGTGTCCCACTCCCAGGTATCTCTGGCTGCTGCCCCCAAATCCTGCCAGGCTGCAAGACTATGACCTCACCTGAGATCGTCTCCAGCCGCTGAAGGAGACCTGCAAGGTCAGCACCCAGGGACGCACTGTACTTAGCTGCGGCCAGAAACTCGGGGGCCAGAGCTGCCTCCTGGGGAGAACACACCAGCTGCAGGGGCCTGAACACCCCACTTCCTCCCAGAAACCAGCACCGGGCTCCCTGCCTGGTACCTGCAGTGCACTGTAGACATCAGGCCGGGCCGGGCGGTAGGAGCTCGCGATGAGGGCTTTCCTGGCAGCTGACTCCTGTCCCAGCCGGCGCCTCCGCGCCACCTCCTGCTCAAGCTGGGGTGGCACAGAGCCCAGTTACCATGCAGGGCCTCCCACCCCCTGAAGTCACTGTGCAGATGAAGAAACTGAGGCCCAGGAAGGTCAGAGTGGCATGCAGGTGGAAACCACAACCCTCTACATTCCTGAATCTGTCCGAGTGACTGCAAGTACCAAACTTTCATATGAAAGGACTTTTTTTTAACTGAGTTACATGACCCATTCCTTTTATTATTTATGTCAAGATAGGGGTCTCCTTAAGTTCCCCAGGAGGGACTCAAATTTATGATCCTCCTGCCTCGGCCTCCCAGAATGCCAGGATTGTAGTTCCAGCAAGGGACTTCTAGAAGGGGGCACATCCTACTCTGGGATGCTCCAGTCCTAGCCTGGCTGGGATGAGAGGAAGAAAACAGAGTCACGGTCCATCCATGTCCAGGCCGGGGAGGAGGTGGGAGGTGAGCAGCAGCGCTGGCACCAGCCTCGGGCACCAAAAGGGTTGCAGAGCACAGGGGTCCAGATCTCAACTCTACCCACAGGGAGACCTCGGGCAGGGGAGCTCTCCTGAAGCCTCAGCTCCTCCCAAACTGAGGGTGTGGCAGTGCCTGCCGCATGGGGCTGTCCAGAGGAGCCTGACAACTTGTGATTCCTCGATTTCTCTCCTTGCGCAGGGACCTAGGTGTCGGGGTGACCGGGAGCAGGAATGGGGGCCACGCAGGCAACAGGAACTGAGGCTGGGAGACCCGCAGTCAGCCGACACAAATTTATAGGGAAGGCCAGGGCGCTGCGTTACCTCCTCTACTAGCTGCTGGAAGTCCTCGCTGCTGACACAGCCTCGGCTGCGCAGGATCTGGGAGCAGACGGACAGTGTGACTGTGGCCGTGGGCAATCCCGTGATGGCTCCGAGCCTCCCGTTACCCTCCTTAAGGTGAAGATGGGAGCCAGGGCCGTCCGAGGCCGCCTTAGGTTCCCAGTTGCCCCACCAGCAGAGCAGCCTACGCGGGGCTTCACCCATTTCTTTTCGCGACAAATCACCACGGAGAGGCTATCCACCCTTTTAAGATGGGAAACCGAGGCACTTGGGCAAAGTCGCGCTTGTATCTGAGCACACAGTCTCCAGGACAACGACCCTTCGTCCACCCTGCCCACTTTTCCCGGGAGGCAGCAGGGATCACTCACAGGGCCGTAGTCTTGGCGCAGCTGCTGCTCATCTAGGAAGTGGAGGTGCAGGCCATAGCGCGCCACGTATAGGTTCTCTGTGCAGAAGCAAGCGCAGCGGCAGAAGCGGCGCCGGACCCCGGCCGTCGCCATGGTGAAGCGCGGCGCTGCCCAGTCTGATTAGGTCGGGGCACTTCCGGGTACGCCCTCAATCGAGGTCTACGGAGTCAGTGAGCAAGGGGCCGTTGTAAATTCCCAGGAGGAAAAGAGAACGAAGTGGGCGTACGGCCCTCACGTTCTGCCTCATGATTTTCCCACCGCCGGGCACTTTGTAGGGAGCTGAGCTAAGTCAGACCATCCTGGGACGTGGACAGGTAGGGACTCAGACCCACAAAGCCTTTTAAACGCTGCCCCCGCCTTCAGCTAGGAACTTCCTCACGGGGAAGCTAGGACAGTTCTGAGGCCCGACCTAGTTCCCGAGGAACCATCAGAGCTGTGCATCTGAGTTTGAGTTTAGCTTTTACTCCGGGTCCCTGCCCGGCGCTGCCGGAGCCTTCGCCGAAAGTTCAAAACTTGACGCTTACGTAGCGTCTTCGCGAAAACGCTCCGGTCCTCACGACTTCCGGCGGCGAACCGGAAGGGCGTGATGTGGGTGGGGCCTTGGGCAGGGTCTGCCGGTGGCCACACCTCGCGTCTAGACCCGGAGCTAGTTCAGCGCAGCCGCAGTGTGAGATAAGTATTGCGCGGGTATCTACCCGCCCTGGGGTCCTGTCATTGTCCCCCCTGCACCCTCAAGCCCAGGTCTGCAAGGCCCCGTCACTCAGGAGGACTGAGGCGCCGGGTAGGGAACTGGATCCCACCCTCGACCCTGCCCTAGAGGCCCCGCCGGGGGCCGAGGGCGCCGCAGCCTCCGCCCCGGGTGGGCGCCTGCAAGTGACAGCTCCTTGTCTGTCCAGACCCACGCTGAGCCGTTTACCACCGCCTCGGCCCCTCTCCTTCCATCAGCACAGCCCCGAGCTAGACAAGCTCCTGTCACGTGCTGCCTGCCGAAGGGGAAACTGAGGCTCGGAGAGACCGCGTGTCTGGCGCCTGTCCTCGGGGTCCCCTCCCCCGCGGGGCGTCTGAGTGAGTGCTGGGGTTTTCTCTGGGTGCCATTTGGTGCCATCTCGCCAAGGGCACTTCCCTTCCTGTGTGCCGCAAGTCCCCCGGTTCTCGCTCCCGCTCTCAGTCCGGTGCCCACGCTTGCCCCACCACAGTTACGGCTCACAACCTCACGAGCTGACACCCACACGCTCACATCCGCCGTGGCCCACCACATCCGCTCGCTCTCGCTCCCGTGTGGCACGCACACACCCACACATGGGCAGAACGGCCTTGGTTCCCTGCTCCATAGTAAGCCCAGTGCCCAGCCGAGCCCCAGGTCGGGCAGTAGCCTGTGACCCTGGCGGCCTGTGACACTGGCCTGACTCGTCCTTCCCGGGGAGGACTCCTCTCTGGAAAGAGCCCACCAGGCCTGATTATGTCACTGTGGCTGGGCAGGAGCAGGGAGACCCTCCTGAGTGTGCACCCAAGCGTGTGAGGTGCTCCTGGAGTTGCTGACACACTCCCTGCCTGTGTTAGCTTACCGACCGCTTAGAATTACCACCGATGGTGGCCGGAAGTCCTGCCCAGTCTCTACCACTGTCTTCTCTTCACAGCCTCTGTGTGGCTTAGAACATTTGTCATTAGACTCACGCAGGGCCCGCCCAGAACATCAGAGGCAAATGGGCCTCTCATTCCAAGATCATTACCTTGATTGTATTGGCAAACCCTTGTCACAGCTTCCTGTCTTCTGGGGAGCATCATTCAGTTCTCTAGGGCTCTTAAGACATGTGGAAGAAAGGGGAAGGAAGAAAGCAAATGCACTGTCCAGCTTTCCCACTCAGTGCAAGTGCTGGGAAGACAGACGGGCTGAGATGTTCAGCTGAGTATGAGCTGCTATAGAGGTCTGCCAGGAAAGGATTCTAGGCAGGGAAACTGACAGTGCAAAGGCCCTGGGGTGAGCTTGATTTGCCAAAAGAACAGTGAAATGTGCAAGGAGCCAAGATCCAAGGAATGAGCCCCCTCGTGGGGTCAGGCCCAGATCCTTGTATAAAGGAGGCCTTGGATGACATTTCAGATTTTACTCTATGTGCAGAGAAAATCTGCTTAAACTTCACAACAAACACTGTAAAGAAAATGAGGCCCAGAAAGGTTGACTGGCCTACTGGAGGTCACACAGCTCCTGAGTGGGGTAGGCTGGAATTAAACTAAGTCTGATGACTGGTTTGTCCCTAAAGGAGCAGGCAGGTCTCCGTCAGTGTCCTCTGTCCTCACATGCAAGGCCACAGGGATCAGGGTGTTTGGGATCCCAGCCGAATCTCCTGACTGTGAGAGGCATGATTCCTCCTGGAAGCTGCCCACCTGAGACGCTATTTAGTTTCCCTGTTCTCTCAATTGCCCCAAGATAGCAAAGGACCTGCTGTCCAGGAAGGGCTCCATTTCACCAGCTTGCTGTTTGCCCCAACTGCCCATCTCCCCCATGGCCCAGTATGTGCCAGTGCCCTCACCAGGCTCCAGGTGGCCCCATCACCCCTGTCACACCCAGTTAGACTTCTCTCTTTGCAGCAGTTGGCCTGATACACAGTTTGTTCCTGTGGCCAGGCTGCCCCCAGGAGCAGACGGTATCCCCACCACCACTCTGCCCCAGCCTGGCTCAGACACCAAGGGGACCAGCAGCAAGACTAGTTAATAGAGCAGGAGTGGTGGCGCATACCTGTAATCTCAGCACTCAGGAGGCTGAGGCAGGAGGATCACCAAGAGTTTGGGGCCAGCCTGGACTACACAGTGAGGCTGTCTCAAAATCCAAAAACAAACAAACAAAAGGACTAATTGGGCCGGAGATTTAGTTCAGTGGTGCCACTGCTGCCTCGCAAGCGCAAGGAACCGAGTTCAATCCCCGGCACCAAAAAAATTATTTTAAATAAATAAAAAGGACTCGTTAATAGGAAGCACCGATTTGCTGTGTGCTAACAGTGACACTGACATATTCCATGCTGACGGCCTGAGATACTGTTAATTCCATTGTACAGATGAGGAAACTGAGGCTCAGTGAGGCCCAAGAGTAACAAGCTGGGGCATGGTGCCGCATATCAGTAAACCCAGCACTCCAGAGGCTGAGGCAGGGGGATCACCATGAGTTTGAGCCCAGCCTATGCTGGCGAATTTTCAAACCCGACACACCATGAGACATGGAATGTTCCAACGCCCAGGGCCCTTCGTGGTCACTACTCAGGTCCCAAGGGTCACCGGTAGCAAAGGCTTCCCGGTGCATCCTTGTACCTGGTACGAGCCGAGTCGCCCTACGTGTGCTGTTCCCATGCTACTGTCGCTCTTATTTGCATTTCTTTGATGACAGATACGTAGGGCATCTTCCCTGATGCTTACTTCCTATCTATCTCTGTGTCTCTTTGGTGGGGGTCCCTTCAGATCACTGCCCCCTGTTTTGTTCTGTTTTTGTTGAGACAGGGTCTTACTATGTAGCCCAGGCTGGCCTTGAACTCACTGTGATCTTCCTGCCTCAGCCTCTTCAGTGCTGGGATTACAGGTGTTTGGTCCATTGTTTTTAATTTTTGATTTTCCTTAGTTCAGTTTGCAGTGCGTGGTGACTACTTACCTTGATCACGTGGGGTCAGCACACGTAGGAAGCACATCATCCTCTCCCCGCATTCTCCTCCCTCCTCTTGATCCATGTTTCCTCTTGCAGAAGACCCATCTCTCTGCTTCCTATTATTGCCCCCACCTTTTTTATCAGGGATCCAACTCAGGACCTTGTGCTTGTGAGGCAGGCAACAAAACCACTGAGCTAAATCCTCAGCCCAATTATTGGCCTTTTATTTTGCCCTTTATTTATTCTTTGGGTTTCTTGTATAAGAGAAACCATGTGCATTTAAGCTCATGTGTCTGATTTATTTTCATGACATTATGGTTTAGTGCATCCGTTTTCCTACAAATGACTCCCGTTTGTCCTTCTGTGTGGCACAGTAGTGCTCCATGGTGTGTAAAGACCACATTTTCTTTATCCATTCATCTGCTGATGGACACAAAGGCTGCTTCCAATGTAGTATTACGAGTTGTTCGCTATAGAATTTAAAACATTATTTTACATGAGTTTCATTCCCAGTACTGAAAAACAGTTTTGAGTTTTAAGAATTTATGTTACAGAGTGCGGTGGCACGTGCCACCCATCCCAGCACTTGGGAGGCTGAGGCAAGAGGATCACCATGAGTTCAAGGCCGGCCTGAACTACATAGTAAGGCCTTGTCTCAAAAATCAAAACCAGGGGGCCGCGGATTTAGCTCAGTGGTTCCAGCACCTGCCTCACAAGTGCATGATCATGAGTTCGATCCCTGGTACCAAAACAAAAAGAAGTACATTGCCATTAACCACCACACCCCTGCAATCTTCCTCCGCAGTCTGAACTTATCCCATCACTACTGTTGCCATTTTCTTTCTTTCTTGCGAATTTATTTTATTTTATTTTCCATTAAGTTTATTGGTACATTTAAAGCAAATGATACAGTTACATCTCTCATTGGGATCTTATACCATTACACGATGTGTCTTGGTTATTTTTCCCCATTCCCCTGCCCTCGCTTACCCCTCCCTATTTACAAAGACTTTGTTTCCATGTTTTCCTTTTTTCACATTTTTTCTTTTCCCTTATTTCCTTGCCCCTCCCCTTCCCACTTCCGAAGCAGTTCTGGGAGTCTTATTTTATGAGGGTCTTTCCGAGGTGTGTTCAAAGAACAGGTGAGTGACATGGTCCATTGCCGTCCGATGGAAAGGCAGCTCCTAAAAACTTCTCAGCGTTTCCTCGTCCACCTCGTTCACCAGATCTGGTACCTGGTGACTTCTGGATCTTCCCAAAGCCAAAGTGACCAAGAAAGGTCTGCATTTTATTTTATTTTTTTAATTGAGTTTATTGGTACATTTTAGGTATACAGTTACATTCATCATTGGGATCTTGTACCTTTACCTGACAGGTCTTGGTTCTCATTTTTTCCCCTTGTCCCTGCCCTCCCTTCACCCCCTCCTCCCCTCTCCATTTACAAAGAAAGGTCTGCATTTAATCGGCTTAGCACATCAAGGCACATAAGAGGACTCTGACCTGCCTGCCAGGTGGCAAGAGCAAGGGGGAGGAGTCGGAAGAAATGAATGACAATGTGTTTTTCTGTACTACGTTTTTTAAGTTTTATTTTATTTTTTATTTTTTCTGGTACCAGGGATCGAACTCGGAACCTTACCTTTGTGAGGCAGGCAGAGGCACCACTGAGCTAAGTCCCCAGCCCCTTAAAATTTAAATATTCACTGTCTTTTTCAATCCCACTTTATACAGTTCTCTATTTGCCTTGTTTTTACAGGGCAATAACGTGGTTCCACTTTACTCCTCAGACCTCTGAGGTCGCCCACACTGCCTTTGATTTTCTGTCGCCTGCGTTTAACCCTGCCGCTGAGGACTTCCAGAGGGATGCTCTATAATTAGCTCCCAGCTCCCTGT